GGGGGAATAAATTGAAAGGGAGGGTGGGGAATAAATTGAAAGGGAGGGTGGGGGGAATAAATTGAAAGGGGGGGATAAATTGACAGGGAGGCTGGGGAATAAATTGAAAGGGAGGGGAATAAAGTGACAGGGAGGGTGGGGGGAATAAATTGAAAGGGAGGGGAATAAAGTGACAGGGAGGGTGGGGGAAATAAATTGACGGGGTGAGGGAATAGATTGAAAGGGAGGGTGGGGAATAAATTGACGGAGGGTGGGGGGAATAAATTGAAAGGGAGGGTAGAATACATTGAAAGTGGGGAATACATTGAAAGGGAGGGGAAAGAAATTGACAGGGTGGGGGGGGAGAAATTGACAGGGAGGGGAATTGACGGGGGAGGGAGGAGGAATGAGAGTGGGGAGGGGAGAAGAGAGTGACAACGGGGAGAAGAGAGGGACAAGCGGGGGAGAAGAGAGTGACAAGGGAGGGAGAGGGGGGAGAAGAGAGTGACAAGGGAGGGGGGAGAGATTGACATCCATCACACACACACAATGCACCCCTTACACACAAAGACAATGCATCCCTTGCACGTAGGAAAACACACAATGCATTACACACACAGACACACACACACACAAGCAATTCAACCCTTACACACAATAACACACAATGCATTCCTTACACACACTCAATGCACCCCTTAAAGATGCACACACTGCATCCCGTACATACACAGAAACACACCATGCAGCCCTTACACATACAAACACAGATTCACACAATGCATTCCTTACACACATATCAGGACATCCCCTACACACTCCACCCCCTGTGAACAAACTCATTGGTGGAACATGAAGGTGGACCCTGGGACCCAGACCTTGAGCTGTGTAAAGGGCCTTAAAAAAATGGAGCTGCTTCCCGTTCTCCCAGAACATTGATTTTTGTGACCACAGTTACAAACAGCCTCCAGAGAGCCTGTTCTACACCAGACCAGTGGAGCCAGACTGCAGCTAGAGCCCATCATCATCCTCATCTGGTTGTAAGTAGGCAATCTAGTATATTATTCGTGGCACTAATCTCTAATTTACCTCACATTAAAAACACTATAGTCTCCAGAACCACTTCAGCTTAATGTATTGGTTCTGGTGTCTATAGCCTGTCCCTGCAGGCCTTTTAATGTAAACACGGCAGCACTGCAGCACTGGCGTTAGTTAACATGGCAGATCATATGGGTGGGGCATTGTGATGTCACATGGGGGGCGGCAAATTTACTTTTGCCTAGGGCGGCAAAAATCCTTGTACCGACCCTGAGTACAAGGCTAAATAGAGCCCTGGGATGAGGCACCTGTGACAGGGAGGGTTAAACCCAAGTAAGTGGGTTAATCTCATAAGAGCAGATATACTTAGATCATATACATAAAATATATATATAAACATTTTTTTTACTTTTATTTAACTTTTTTCAGGCAGTAGGGGGACAACCTGTCATTCCAGGCACTCCCCTTGCTGGCACTGCTATGGACGGCTATTCCGTCCATGTGGCCCAGGAGGGTCAGATCAGATACAGGGGGACTGCCTGGGATGCCAGACAAGTGCCCCCATTCCTATCGCTGGTGAGCAGGTAAGTGCATAGGACGGCAGGGACGTACAATGCCGCCCACCGGCGTTTAGAGTCGTGTCCCCAAGGACGGCATAGAAAGCCCACCGTCCTTAAGGGGTTAAGTAATACTAATAAAAACAGATGACATATGGGAACAGTAAGTGAAGAAGGCATTGCCCAAAAGAGCTTACAATCTAAAAACACAAAAAGTCCTGTAGAGTCAAGGATAATGCAGGAGCCAACTTGCAGCCTCTCAAAGCTTTAGGTAAAAGTGCAGTGAATCAGTAATAGATCAAATTTTTAGCATATTCTGATATTACTTTTCATTACTAACAAGGTCTTTTATTTTTTGCAGTAACAAAATTATATATAATGTCAGCACTCTTTTTAACCTTGCCCTGCAGAGAGTCCCAGGAGGAAGCATTTCAATGTAATTGGATTAAGAGCAGGCATTAGGGTGCTAGAGTAGGACCTGCATTGTGGCAGGTTTATGCAATGTATGATCATATACTGTAACTAAACCCCCATTATTTTCTTGAAACATGTGATGTGTATTGAGCACATGAATGTGAAGTAAACACACATCTGTATTTTAAATAAAACTAATTAAACTGTATACATTTGCACAGCTGTATTTTTATGCATTCTTTTTAAAAACGTTTTAGATATTATGTGGATATCCATTGCAACAGGACTGACATTTTGTTTAGAAGTATAAATATAATTTTTGTAACATACAGTCAGTTTAACAATAATTGGATAAAGTTGTCAAAACCATATTTCAATGGAATCGTTTCCAAATAATGCCAGATTTAGAAAACAAACTGAAAAAAAATAGTGTACGTATAGGCTTAATGACTACAGAGGACAAAAAAAATCTGCAGATAATATATGGGCTACTAATTAATTTTCAGATTGTTATTGCAGTCTATATACTCAATCCCCTTCCTCTATCTCTGGTCTCCTAGAATGCATTCATGAAATTTAACATTTAAAGGTTGCTGTTGGGAATGGGGAGAGGGTGTGTGGCAGAAAGTGGAGTCCTAATAGTGCATTTCTCGATTTGGTGAAGACCAGTATTGAAGCAAAGTAAACATTATTTGGGACTGCAGGGGTTAATAAAATAGATATTGATAAGCTAAAGATTATTCTGCAGTGAGGATCGTGGGTTTAAAACTTTCAATGTCCTAACTGCAAGTCTTAAAGTGAACCCTTTTTGGGTTGACAATAATAATTTCTGGGTCTAGATGTTATTATTATCAATTTAAAGGGACACTATAGTCACCTGAACAACTTCAGCTTAATGAGGTTGTTCAGATGAGAACTATAGCTCCCTGCAGCCTTTCTCATGTAAACACTGTATTTTCTGAGAAAATACAGTGTTTACATTGAAAGCTAGGAACACCTCCAGTTGCAGTCACTCACAATGAACCAGCAGAGCACAGAGCAGCACTGTGCACAGCATCCTGTGATTCAGTATCTCCTCCCTCTACATGCAGACACTGAACTTTCCTCATAGAGATTCATTGATTCAATTCATCTCTGTGAGGAGATTCTGATTGGCCAGGGCTGTGTTTGAATCATGCTGGCTCTGCCCCTGATCTGCCTCTTTGTCAGTCTCAGCCAATCCTATAGGGAAGCACTGTGATTGGATCAGGCTACTACATGTCAGCAGACTGCTTGTTTTTCTGAGTCTAACAGCACGCAGATTTACAGCTTCAGGCTTGAATACTGTAAGATTTTTACTATATTTATGGAGGCATGAGGAGCCCAAGGAGGCAAGATGGCGGTGTTAACACTATAGGGTCAGAAATACACGTAGTTGCACTGGTGACTATAGTGTCCCTTTAATGACCCTGTAAGGATGAAAGTATATATACGAGGTCTGTCTGGAAAGTATCCAGTTATGTAATATGAAAATAAGAGGAGAAGACAGATACAAGAAACATTATACATAGGACAATGACGCCTCAGTCCCCTTCAAAGTAGGCTTGGGACCTCATAAAGTTCTTCCAGCATCTCTTCCACTGTTCAAAAAACTCTGCAAAATCCTTTATTGGGATCAGTTGCCTTGTCGTATTTACCTGAATTTCTTCCTTTTCAAAGGTGCTTTTAGTTTTGGGAAAAGCCAGAAGTTGCAGGATGTCAAATCTTGCAACAGATTCTCGACCATCTATGAAGCATTTGTGCCACACTTTTATTTGCACTGCACTCATTGCATAATTCCCGAAAGCATTCTAAATTACCCGAATAGTTTCTGCAGTGAAATATTCAAACTTAAAGCAAAATTTGATACAGATTCATTGCTCTACTCGCTCAATCATTTTGAGTGAGCGGGCCGCGTAGTACACATACTCACTCAACAGTGCTGAGTCCCCCACTGGCCAGTCCATCCTCCTTCGCTGCCAGGTTACATCGATGTCACACAAACCATTCTTGTTATTTTAATATATTAACAGTAACTGGGTTTTTTTATGGACAGACCTTGTGTGTGTGTGAGTGTGTGTGTGTGTGTGTGTGTGTGTGTGTATATGAATGTGTGTGTATATCAAAATATTATAAAGGGTGCACTCACAGGACTTAGAAATTTTCAATAGTGACTTTAATCAAAAATATAAACAATTACATTTGTAAATCGACCCACGTTTCAAACCTGGCGGGTCTTTTTTAACACAATATGTTAAATCTCATTTACTAAATGCTTCTTCTCCGCCGTCTTAATAAAATAATGCCATTTGTAGATTCTTTTCTCTCCTGTATGCTATAGTTAACTTCGCAAATCATGGCATTAGCATTTAGAGCACTCAGATCCAGGTTGGTTTGTAAAACAGAGAGCCTTGGCTCTTGAGTGTTTTCTCTTTGGTTGTTTCTGATCAATATACTGTGACATTCTGGTAATAGGCAACAAAATATCACTCCATATACTGAAGCTATGATGGCTACAACTTCCACTGCTGGAAGATACATGCCACTGGTGTTCATATAGATTGGAATGAAAATAACCCATACAAACATGTAGCTAAGCATAGTAAATGAGATGCCTCTTGCATTATAGCGCTTCTCTGGTAATTTCTTTTTTTT